TTTTGACACAGGGTCTCGTTCTGTCACCAGGCTGGAGTGCAGTGGTGCAATCTTGACTCACGGCAACCTCCACCTCCCAGGCTCAAGTGATTCTCCTGCCTCAGTCTCCCAAGTAACTGGAACTACAGGCGCACGCCACTACACCCAGCTAATTTTTGTATTTTTAGTAGAGACGGGGGTTTCACCATGTTGACCAGGATGGTCTCGATCTCTTGACCTCGTGATCCACCTGCCTTGGCCTCCCAAAGTGCTGGGATTACAGGTGTGAGCCACCGCGCCCGGCCAGCTCATCTACTCTTTATATTAGTTTCTACCATTAGCCAACCCATTCAAAGTTCTACACCACTAATTGACTTCACAACCACCTCACTCTGGAAATGTAAGCAGCTTGTGAATGGGGAGCTGCCACTGTTTGCATGTGGCCAGAAACACACTCACGATTCTTACTGTTGTGAGTGGGCAGAAGAGCAGTAGGTGGGGAAGAACAATTTTCTTTGTCTTTCCACTTAAACACAGCTTTCAGAGAGACGAGGCAGTTTGAAAACCAGTGGTCAGGAACTACACATGACTATGAAAATGCAAACTAAGGCATCCAAAGATTTACATTCAACTGGAGAAACATCAATATTGCTGAAAAGCTGCACCCATCAATTCAGCGTTCTGTGGCACATTTAGTTCCAAATCTGAGAACACTGAACCTGGGCAATTTATCTGCATATGCCTCAGGCTAACCACACAAATCTTACAGACAAAGCTAGAAGTTAAGACAGATAGCTTAGAATGCACTGTTGATGTGACCAAAAGGGCTTCATAAAAGAGTCAGATGCAGTAATGACATTACCAGAAATGTGGACGCAGAGAAGGAAAGTCTCTGTGGTGCCCCACTGTCTCTGAAAACTGAGGATGGCTTTCATGACAAAGAAGTAACCTTTTGTTAGCTGTACACAAGATCATACAAACCCGATAAAGAGGGCTTGTAAAATAAGTGCAAAGCTTGATGCCTGCATATAATTTTCCCTCCTGTGGTGTTATTTCATAAAGATTTGTCAACAGATCAATCCCTCAGTCACAAGAGTCAGGCTACACATCACCTTGGGGGAAAATTATTTAATTTCAGTTGGTGATGTAAATGCTACCTTTTTTTTTTTTTTTTTTTTTTTTTTAGACTGAGCGGCATGATCTTTCCTCACCGCAACCTCCGCCTCCCAGGTTCAAGAGATTTTCTGCCTCAGCCTCCGGAGTAGCCAGAACCACAGGTGCCTGCCACCACACCAGGCTAATTTTTGTATTTTTAGGAGAGATTTTTGTATTTTAGGAGATATTTTGTATTTAGGAGATATTTTTGTATTTTAGGAGTTTCACCATGTTGGCCAGGCTGGCCTCAAACTCCTGACCTCAGGTGATCCACTTGCCTCAGCCTGTAAATGCTACTTCAAATTCCATCAATTGCCAAACTATCTTTACCATACATTCTTCTGTGTAGTCAGTTCTCTTGAAATAGCTAATGGCCACTAAAACAAGAGTTTCATTCCACAGCTCTCCAAGTGAGTTACGATATGCTCACATTGTATTTTGAAGAGCTGAGATAAATTTATCTCAGTCAATCCCAGATTATTCCTCCCTTGTTTCATTTGAAGATCATACAACAGGACAGTGATTCGCACACCTGTGTGTGTGTGTGTGTGTGTGTACACGTCTGTGAAACTGTACAATCTAATCACCACAGCTCTGCAAAGAACACAGCACAATTCTATTCAGGTTTCAGAAATGGAAAAAAAATCTCAAGAAATCATTCTCAAAAGCTATTTCCAGAATACCTTCTTGGGAAGTTTAAAAATTGGGTCCACTTTGTAATGCACGAGTATAAAGGAGGTAAATTCATAGCTTGCTAATCACCTTTTAATGCTAGAACCATAAATGGCTATTTCCAAAACATATTCACTGTATCGAATGCCTGATTTGATATTTAGTTATGTAAAAATTTTTTCCATCTCAACGAAGCCTTAAGGCAGCCTCCAAAAATTTATACAGAGGGGTTTTACCTTGTCCAGTGAAGGTTCTACTTCCAACCATCACAAGTACCAGAATTTTAAACTTTTACTATAAAAATCTCTATGGGATTATATAATCTTTCAACCATCTTCTTAACTTGAAACTTTTTTAACTAAACAAATATGACAAGACAGAATTAAAAGTGCATTGATCATAGAATGCAAACTGATAGTCAATGAAGTTCTAAGGAAAGTATAAATTAGTGAAATATTGTCATTCATTTAAAAAAGTACAATTAAAAGCAAGTCAAATGAACTACTGATACTTTGACACCTACTACAAACACAGCAGATTGTAGCAGGTATAGAAAGGAAAAAGACATGGGACACAGTTACTGGCAACAGGGAACTTAGTATGTGGGAGGAACATGACACGGAACTCTATACAAACATTGGATCACATACATCACAGAATGCAGGTTTAGACTTAAAAGGAAGTTGGATAGGTCAGGTGGAGCCATTTTCTGTCAGATAAACCTATTAGACACATTTTAAAAATGTAACATGATATGTCCACACCTCCTATCTTAAAAGAATACCAATCAACAATCCTCTCAAAGTAAATTACATGCAACTAAGAAACTTTAACCTTTATCTTTCCAACATCCCTCATCACACAGTATTTATTTTTGATAAGTCTGAGTCTCCCACTATACAACAAAATACCAAACATCGCGGGATGTCCTATTTAACTTTGATTCCTGAGCTCTTGGAACCTACAGAACGCATAATGATCCAATGTATTCTTGGTGAATACATAGTTGAGTGAATGAATGGATGAATGAACAGTGTTTTAATAGCAGCTGTTAATTTGGATTTATTTGAATATAAAGATTGATTCTTCACAGCAAAACACAGTTCAGGAGGCTTCTACAAAGTTATGTTTCTTCCTTTCTTTCTTTCTTCCTTTTTTTTTTTTTTTTTTTTTTTTTTTTAAGACTTGGGGGTTCTGCTCTGTCACCCAGGCTGAAGTACAATGATGCAATCAGAGCTCCCTGCAGCTTCAAACCCCTGGGCTAAAGAGATCCTCTCCAAAGTTATATTTCATAAAACAAATGGCCAAAATTAATGATAAAATTAATTTAAAAAGTTGTTCATTGAAGCATTATTCACAAAAGGAAAAATGGCAACAATCTAAATTTGCAGCACCTGGGCGGCACGCAGTTTTATTACGGTCATACACTGATAGATTATGGAACTATTAAAAATGACAAACAGGCTGTGCACGGTGGCTCACTCCTGTAATCCCAGCACTATGGGAGGCCGAGGCGGGCAGATCACTTGAGGTCAGGAGATCAAGACCATTCTGGCTAACACGGTGAAACCCCATATCTACTAAAAATACAAAAAATTAGCTGGGCATGGTGGTGGGCGCCTGTTGTCCCAGCTACTTGGGAAGTTGAGGCAGGAGAAGGGTGTGAACCAGGGAGGCGGAGGTTGCAGTGAGGAGAGATCGTCCCACTGCACTCCAGCCTGGGCAACTGAACAAGACTTTGTCTCAATAAATAAATAAGTAAATAAATAAGACAAATATGAAGGCCTGAAACAGAGAGAAATTAAGATATAACAGGAATAAAAAATGAGTAGACCAAAGTAGTATGTATGCCATAGCTACAAACGGAAAAAAATATGTACACATGTAAAAAGACTAGAATGAAATACATACAAAATATATTTGTTAAAGTATATAGGTTTATGGCTTACAGGTGATTTTTTTCCACTCTAAACTTTTTGTAGAACTGTTACATTGTGGACGGGTGCGGTGGCTCACACCTGTAATCCCAGCACTTTCAGAGGCCAAGGCAGGCGGATCACTAGGTTAAAAGATTAAGACCATCCTGGCCAACATGGTGAAACCCCATCTCTACTAAAAATACAAAAATTAGCTGGGCATGGTGGCCCACACCTATAGTCCCAGCTACTCAGGGGCTGAGGCAGGAGAATCACTTGAACCCAGGAAGTGGAGTTTGCAGTGAGCTGAGATCACGCCACTGCACTCCAGCCTGGAGACAGACTCCGTCTCAAAAAAAAAAAAGAACAACAACAACTGTTACATTGCCATTTACAGGTCCTGTTGTAAAGGTAGAAGTTTCACAGTAAGTTTCTAACAGTAATTATTACAGTGACCATTAACAGGAACTTATTTCACCAAATCTAACTGCTACTGACTAGAAGATACACCAGTATTTTACGTACTATTAATAAAAATAAAAGTTATGTTACATTCATAGGCCTTAAAAATAATAATAAAAATAAAAATGCTGCCAATCATAGCTGTAAAATGTCAGTGATTGCAAGATATATCAAATTTCAAAGATATTAAAATGTGAAAAGATATGTGTCTTAGAATCAATAAAATATGTATTATAAAGTTGTAATATAAAAATATTTTATTTGTAAAAAAGTGATCATTTGTAGTGACTAGATAACAAACTAATAAATCTATGAAAACTTTGATAGAAATCTCTTAAAGAAACAGGCTGGGCATGGTGGCTCACGCCTGTAATCCCAGCCCTTTGGGAGGCCGAGATGGGCAGATCACCTGAGGTTGGGAGTTCAAGACCAGCCTGACCAACATAGAGAAACCCTGTCTCTACTGAAAATACAAAATTAACCAGGCGTGGTGGCGCATGCCTGTAATCCCAGCTGCTCAGGAGGCTGAGGCAGGAGACTCACTCGAACCCAGGAGGCGGAGGTTGCAGTGAGCATTTCAGCCTGGGCAATAAGAGTGAAATTCAGTCTCAAAAAAAAAAAAAAAGAAAGAAAGAAAGAAAGAAAAAAGGAAATAAATGGCTTGATTCACAAATAGAAGTTTTATGTAAGAATTCTGAAAATAAAATACACAAGACATTGCACCACAGAGGACAAGTGTTCATCATGCCTCTGAGATAAAATGTTTCTGGTCCAAAAGAATTGAGTAAATGAATTATCAAAAAGAAATAGAATTGCTTGCTTTGACAGCACATATACTAAAATCAGAATAATACAGAGAAGATTAGCATGGTCCCTGCACAAGGATAACACACAAATTTGTGAAGCATTCCATATTTTTAATCAGTACATACACATATATCAAAGCATTATGTTGTACTCCTTAAATATATATAATCTTTGTTAATTTTTTTTAAAAAAAGAAAACATAACTAGAAAATTCTTGACTTCTGAGGAGCAGGGAAGAAATGAAGGGAGAAATTAAAGTAAGCCAAGAAGCCTGAACAAGATTCTCAGCTTCAGTATAAAGTAAGTCATTAAATGATTTGTTTGAGTGGCATTTCCTTGAAAATAAGACTGAAGCTGACAGCCAGACACGGTGGCTCACGCCTGTAATGCCAGCACTTTGGGAGGCTGAGTCGGGTGGATCACAAAGTCAGGAGACTGAGACCATCCTGGCTAACATAGCGAAACCCCATCTCCACTAAAAAATACAAAAAAATTAGTCAGTCGTGGTGGCACACACCTGTAGTCCCAGCTAATTGGGAGGCTGAGTCAGGAGAATGGCATGAACCCGGGAGGTGGAGCTTGCAGTGAGCCAAAATTGCGCCACTGCACTCCAGCCTAGGCGACAGAGTGAGACTCCATCTCAAAATAAATAAATAAATAAATAAAAGACTGAAACTGTCTATGGCACATAATCACAGAGGTCACTCACTGAATTACAGTAACATCAAATTTTTTACATGCTCTGTCTCAAAAAAAAAAAAAAAAGACTGAAACTGCCTATGGCACATAATCACAGAGAAGGTCACTCACTGAATTACAGTAACATCAAATACGGTGTAGAGAGGTAATGAGTCTACATGTTCAGTGGAATATCATGATTCAGAAAATCAGAATTAAAATTTGTAATTTTCAGACCACCGGTCCTCTAAGCTTTTCTCCCTAAGTTCACTCTTTGGCTTTTCATTTAATATAATAATGACAATTAATTAATGTCACCTAAACTTTTAGCAGTTCAGCATGAAGAAAACATAAGAAACTTTCCAGTTGGTTATCAAATCATGGGACACTACCTTAACTATCCATGAGAGTGTAACAACAATAATGCAACAAATAATAAGAACAAACTACAATAAGTAGTAAGACAAAGGCATTATCCAAGGAACAAAAAATGGCAGAGACATTCAAGTTCATTATTTTAAAGTGCTGATTATTTAAACCCTTCATCCATCTACATATGTAAGGTAAAGGTGCCTTTTTCATTGCCAAACTACAAAAACAAGAAAACCGAAGTCTAATACTGAAATAATCTATGATGATTTGTATAATAATAATTTATAAATGAAAGTCATAAAAGCCAACCTCCCAGAAAAATCAACAAAACCAAGAGGCGGTTCTTTGAAAAGACTGATAAAATTGACACTCCTGTAGGTAGACTGAGAAAAAGAAGACTAACTAAAATCAGAAGTGAAAAAGGGGACATTACTACTGTTTCTACAGCAATCAAAAGGATTATAGGAGTATAATTACCAACAAATTAGATAACCTATACGAAAAGAACAAATTCCTAAACACAAAACCTACCAAAACTGAATCATGAAAAAATAAAAAACCTAAACAGATCTATAACTAGTAGAGACATTGATTAGTAATCAAAAACCTCCCAACAAAGAAAAGTCAAAGACGAGACGGCTTCACAGCTGAATTCTATCAAACGTTTAAAGAAGAATTAACATCAATCTTTCTCAACAACTCCAAAAAACTGAAGAAGGAACACTTTCAAACTCCTATCAGACCAGCATTACCCTGATACCAAAGAAAAACAATTACACTATTAAAAAAAAGAAAACTGCAAACCATTATTTCTCATGAAAATTGTGCAAAAATCCCTAGCAAAAGAATACTAAACCAAATTCAACAGTTTATTGAAAGGATTATACACCATCATCAAGTGGGACTTATACCTGGAATGCAAGGATAGTTCAACATATGAAAATTGATCAATGAAATGCACTACATTAACAGAACAAAGAGGAAAAAACACATCATCATCATCATCTCATTTGATACAGAAAGAGCATTTGACAAAATTCAGCAATCTTTCATGATAAAAAGCACTCAACAAATTAGGAATAGAAGGAAACTATCTCAGCATAATAAAGGTCATATATGTAAAACCCACAGCTAATAGCATACTCAATGGTTAATGACTGAAAGCTTTTCCTGTAAGATCAAAAGGAAGAAAAGAATGTCCACTTTCACCACTTCTTATCAATATAGTAGTAGAAGTCCTAGCCAGAACAATTTAGCAAGAAAAAAAATTCACCTAAATTGGAAAGCAAAAAGTAAAATTATCTTTGTTTGCAGATGACGTAATCTCACAGGTAGAAACCCTTAAAAATTCCACATTAAAAAAAAAAAAAACCTGTTAGAATAACATAAAAATCAAATAAATGGAAAAGGCTGGCCATGGTGGCATGTATCTATAGTCTTAGTTACTCAGGAGGCTGAGGTAGGAGGGTTGCTTGAGCCCAGGAGTTCAAAGCTATAGAGAATTGTGATCACACCACTGCACTCCAGTCTGGGAGACAGACTGAGGCCCTTCCTCTAAAAAATAAATAAATATTGATGAAATAAAAAATGAATGGAAAGACATCCTGTGTTCATAGATTAGAACACTTAATATTGTTAAGTCATCTATACTACTTAAAGCAATGCAATTCCTATTAAAACACCAATGATGTTTTCTGTAGAAACAGAAAAATCAGCATTTATTCTCTTTTGAAATATACCTTAAAACTTATCAACAATCACCTCTATTTAATCTATAAAGTATATTCAACATCACAAATCAGAAGCTATTAAATCCATTCAGATACAGAGGATTCAATTTTTTGTTTCTTTTCTTTTGAGATGGAGTCTTGCTCTCTCACCCAGACTGGAGTACAGTGGCACAATCTTGGCTCACTGCAACCTCCACCTCCCAGGTTCAAGTGATCCTTCCAACTCAGCCTCCTGCATTCCTGGGATTACAAGCATGCACTGCCATGCCTGGGTAAATTTTTTTTTTTTTTTTTTTTTTTTTTTTTTTGTATTTTTTAGTAGAGATGGGGTTTCACCATGATGGTCAGGCTGGTCTCAAACTCCTGACCTCAAGTGATCTGCCTGCCTCAGCCTCCCAAAGTGCTGGGATTACGTGTGTGAGCCACTGTGCCCAGCCAGAACCCAATATTTTAAACAAAGTGGTATCATCACTAATACTCAGGCCTACAGTGGGACATTTTACATAAGACAATCACAGGGGAGACTTGTTGAGCTTATAATCATCAGAGAGCAGTATAATAACAAATAATGGGGGGATAGCCTTTTCCAGCAATAGATGCGTGGACCTCCATAAAATAGCTGCAGTCACAAAGCAAGGCAATGTTAAGAATGGTAACCATCATCATCAGATACAGACAAGTTGAATCTATTCAAAACTTGTATGAGGTACTTTTAGGAGTTATTATAGATTCATAGAATTCGTGATTGACAAGGACCTTAAAAATCCTGTTACATGTGAAACCACTTAATGGATAAGAAAATGAGGACTGCAGAAGAGGTACCTGATGTCTCCAAGGTCACATAAGGAGGTGGCACAACCATGACTGTAATTCAGGTTTCCTGCATTCCTCTATCTTCTCTAATCAAACTCCTGAGCTAAAGGTCAGGAGTACTACCTTAGTCTGTTGATGAAAAGGTCACTACAAAGTGGTTTCTCAAAGACTCTTGACCACATCACTATACAAACACTATGGTTAATCAACTAACCCCTGCCCTAGCAAAGGAACCTCCTAGGATTATATGGGGAGCTTTCGTACTGATACTAGACTTTTTGACAGCTGTGGCTATTGCCATCCCAGCCCTGTGGAAAGGGGCTAGGATCTGCACTGTGAGAGGTGTACTTTCCATTGTCAATTATCCTGGGAAGAAGCAGATCCTGAGATAAGAAATGGAAACTAGCAAGGAAAGACGTGGGAGAAGGAAGGAGGAAATCCTCCCTCTTCCAGGGTCTCATTCTCTTTGATGACTAGATTCTACATCTAGCTGTGATGACAGTCACTTCTGAAGGCAGGGACTGGATGGTCTAAACCAGAGAGGCAGTCCAGTAGAGAGCCCAGTGAGGAATAGGTCTATGACTGCCATAACTAGCAGTTTGTTTGTTTTTTAAAGTCATAAACTCAACTTCTGTCTTCTCTAGGGAATTGAGGACATGTTTCCAGATGAGGGATGGAATGGAAAATGGGAAACCAGAGTCCCCAAAGAGCTATCACAATGCTGGCAGCAATGCTTAGCACGGTGAGCAATGAAAATGGGAATCTTTGAGATAGGAATCAAGGCATGATGTCCAGGCTCACCTCATCACATGAAAATGGTTTCTCTTCCTGATCACCTCAGAGAAAGGGGCATTAATTTTTTTTCTAGGTAACAAAGCTGGGAGAAGGGGCATTAATTTAACTAAGAGATCCAATGGGTTTCCTTGCAAACCATCGGACACCGACAACCGAGGGTGATATCCAGTGGGTGGGTGTCAGGATGACCATCCAGAACATATACAGTCAGCATCCTTCTGATTGGCCAGAAACTGCCTACTAACTACAGGCTAAATATCCCTTACCCAAAATGCTTGGGAACAGAAGGGTTTTGAACTTCAGATTTTGGGGATTTTGAAATATCTGCATTATATACTTACCAGCTAAGCATCCCTAATCTGAAAATCTGAAATCCAAAATGCTCCAATGAACATTTTCTTTGAGCATCATGTCAGCACTCAAAAAGCACTGGATATTTTCGTATTGTGGACTTTGATTTTTTTAGGGAAGCTCAACTATGTTTTGAGTCTCACCCTTCCAACAATCACACATTTTTCCATCCTCAGTATCTGGTATTAACTCCTGAATCTGGGATAAACATGAAGTGTGTAACACAAAGGTTGGCAGTCTCCCAGGCTCAGGAGTTAACAAAAATTATATTAATAAGCTAAGCAGCAGATAGTAGTATTTATATTTTATAGGCTAGAAAGTTGAGGCCCAAAGAAAAAACTCATTCACAGATAGCCGGTGGAAGAGTCAAAAT